TGGTATGGGAGCTCAGCAGGGAGATGTTCTTCTCCTACTGGCTGGTGATACAGTGAGTGCTGCCTCCAGCTCTGAGAGTGGGGCATTAAATGCTTTAAAAAATAAAAAAAAAAAGGGGAAATTGGTGCGGATGGAGTGAGCAGAGTGGCACTCACTCTGTCTGCAGGTAGAGCTGGGGAATCCCAGCAGTCAGGGGTTTATCTTCAGGAACACCAGCTGCTCCACCAAACCAGGATCCAAGGAGGTGTGGTGGGGTGTCTCAACATCCTCAGCAATACTGAACACCATCTCACTTGGAACACTGGTTGGTGGACAGGACAGGTGTTGCTGGGCAGCCGTGGCCAGATCCTGCCACATCTGGCTGCGGGTTGCCCACTAGGCCAAGGAGTTGTAGTCCAGCAGCTCCATGTTGTCAGCAAGATATGTAGCCACCAAAGCCTCGGCGCTACCTGCCCAAGCCTGGAGTCTGGTGCATCTTGACCTCACCATGATCTGCTCGCTGGGGAATTGGCTCCACAGTAGGACCCAGAGGGTGGTGGTTGATGGGAGTCAATAATTGTGGTGCACTGTGACTAGTGGGGTCCCTCAAGGCTCTGTCCTAGGGCCCATACTTTTTAACATCTTTATCAATGATGTAGACATTGGTGTAAGAAGTGGGCTGGCCAAGTTCGCCGATGACACCAAACTCTGAGGTAAAGCATCCACACCTGAGGACAGGAGGGTGCTCCAGGCAGATTTTGACAGGCTCATGAAAGGGGCAGATGAGAACCTGATGGTGTTTAACACTGAAAAATACAAGGTTCTCCACCTTGGGAGGAAAAACCTGCAGCGTGCTTATAGGCTCAGCAGTGCTACGTTGGTTAGCACTACAGATGAAAGGGACTTGGGGGTCATGATTGACCACAAGATGAACATGAGCCTTCAATGTGATGCTGTGGCTAGTAAAGCAAGCAAACCTCTGGCTTGTATCCATAGATGCTTCTCAAGTAAATCCCGGGACGTCATTCTCCCATTGTACTCGGCCTTGGTGAGGCCGTAGCTGGAGTACTGCATCCAGTTTTGGGCTCCATAATTCAAAAAGGACGTGGAGAAGCTTGAGAGAGTGCAGAGGAGAGCCACGCTCATGGTCAGAGGTCAGGAAAACGGACCTTATGATGAGATGCTGAGAGCCATGGGACTCTTCAGCCTTGTAAAGCACAGACTCAGGGGCAATCTGGTGGCCACCTACAAGTTTATCAGGGGTGTTCACCGGGATCTGGGGGAACATCTGTTCACCAGAGCGCCCCAAGGGATGACAAAATCGAACGGTCACAAACTCCGCTGCAGCCGATTCAGGCTGAACATAAGGAAGAACTTCTTTATTGTCCGAGCCCCCAAGGTTTGGAATAGACTGCCGGCAGAGGCGGTTCAAGCACCCACTTTGAACGCCTTCAAGACACATTTGGATGTTTATCATGCTGTGATCCTATGATACCTGCTGACTTCCTGCCCCTGGGGCAGGGGGCTGGACTCAGTGATCCTTCGGGGTCCATTCCAGCCCAAATGTCTATGAAATCTGGACCTCAACATTGAAGCCATACCCTTGACCCACGTTTGCAGTGGGTGTCATGGAGGAGACTGGCTGATGCTGGGTGTGCTGGCACAGGAAAGTAGATCACCCTCTTCCATGTACCCTTAACTCTGCCCTTCTGCC